TAATGCCCCTCAGGTCATCTATTTGTTTCTGAAGAGTAGCTTCATCTTTAGTGCGTTGCTTCTTTATTTGTTCGATTTCTTTTTTAAGTTCAGCGGAATGTGTTCTTTCTTTTTTTAGGGAATTTAACAGGGAGAATTCCATATCCGTTTTTGGAGTAAACTTTTCCATGTTATTGACCCACTGAATTGTTTGTTTTTATTTCACACACATTATTGCGCTTTACGCGCATTCTGATTTACTTACTTCGTAATAACAGCAATTACGAACTGCTGAATTGTTATTTATTGTTATAAATCGCGTGTATGATTTATATTATTAATATGTTCATATTATCAATATTAAAAATATTGTACTGTTCACACTATTTTACATTGATACAAGAAAATAACACAAAAATGACCTATTTAAGTGGTGATAACTCGTAAACGATGTACCCTATCATCAAGATCTATACATCATTCGACTCGTCATAGTTTCTCCTATCGAAATCAATCTCGGAATGACACCGTGTTCGACTCATTGTTTATGCACGTATAAACGCCCGAAACTATAGCCCCAATATAAAAAAATTAATGAAAACTAAATCGACTATAATTAGAGAACGGTTTGACGGATTTTAATGTTTTATATCTCAATCGAAAGTTGGTGTCTGGCTGAATGCGGTTGTCGAAATGCCCGATTCGAAATATTTAAAGATTTTGAATAAAACATAAAAAAACGAATTAATCAAACACATCAATTATCTCCTTAACTAATTGACCAATTTTAGTCATAAACATCTCGATCGAAAGTATGATCTACAATGAATGCGAAGGTGGAAACGCCCGATTTCAAAATTTACTAATTATCTGCGTACGGCTATTGAAATGACCTCGCGAATCTGCCGACTAGAAGTCTAACTAGCATTCTTTATTGAAATCGGTTAACTGGTTCTCTTGTTATAATCAAAATACTATACATGTAAAATTCTATCTAATTGGATAACTTCGCATAGGTTGCAGAGTAGTTTCGTAACTATGGTTTATTCATATATTGCGAGTTATATTAAATTCCCGATATAAATTATTTATTTCACATCTATGCACAAAACACCAATCAAGTATAGTAATTTTCACAAATATGAAAATAAAGCAGAAAAGAAAATGCAATAAATAACAAAATTTTATTAAAATAAAAATAATATAGTAAATGAACTTAAACTTAACAACTTAATTAAGTTGTTATAGGTATGTGAGAGTATTTAAATTAAAATATCTTATCTCAATCTAATCTAAGCAATGACTTTTGTTTCTCCTATCACGTGTGTTATATCTGATTAGTTAATTAATGCTATTTAATTTAAAATATTCAAAAATTTAAAATATACATGATTTTTATATTACACTTTAATTAATTGACAACCCCAAGGACAGTAGAATCTAACAGGACTGCTACATGCATTGTATTTTAGTAGCCCACTACGGGTTGGTTGCCCGCAGTCTACGTCACTGTATTAGCCACGCCTGGTAACTGTCTGTGTTTTTAGAGGTTATATGATAGACATCAATACGTCTAAAAACATAAAACTTCAAAAATAATATGAATACGTCTATGATATAACCTCTAAAAATAGACAGCAAACACATAGAGCTGGGCGTGGCAAATGGTGTGACGTAGTTTGCGGGCAGGTTGTCACAACAATGAATGTAGCAGTCCTGTTAGATTCTACTGTCCTTGGTCAATACAAGATTTACTTTTGAAGTTATATGAATACGTCTACGATATACGATATAACTTCTAAAAATACACAGCAAACGCATAGAACACAATAACAGCTGACTGGGCGTGGCAAATGGTGTGACGTAGTGTGCGGGCACGTTGTCACAACAATGAATGTAGCAGTCCTTTTAGATTCTACCACAGAGTATACAGAGGCCGGACTCCGGCTAATAAATTGGCACTCCTATCTATCCTTATTCAACTAATGAAAAATTCGTTTGGTACTTTCTCTCTCACATAAACTGAAACTGTGTAGATGGCGCAATTGTCGCGTTGCAGTAGTATTTTAGGAAACCAATAGATGGCACCATTTATTTCAAAATTTTTAATTCGCAAACTCGTAGAGTTAAAAGAAAGCAATAGATGGCGCCATGTATTTCAAGTCATAAATCTGTAAATCCCACAGCTACGTCAAGTTCTGTCAAAACTAACGAACTTTCGTGAGTTGCTTATTCAGTCAACTAAATTCTCTTTTTTCTATCTGGTTTTTGGTGGTAAAGTAAGGACCGAAATGAATAGGATTTGCTACATTTGCGGACGTTCGGTAGATATCAATAAGTACATTTATAAATTTAAGGTAGATAGATTTGTTGTACTAAATGATAATTTACTTTGATATTTTAGACAGCTATCATGGAATGGGTGCCTTGGTGTTCTTGTAGAAAACACATTCTAGCCGAATTACAATTTGCAATAATCATTTTACTTTCCTTGTAAAATGATTAGTTTTATGTTGATTAGGAATTTTAAAGAACAAAGAGAAACAGATCTGGAGACTTAAGAATTATGAACACATTACTGAGAGATATGGTAAACAAACCAGAATCTTTTACTCAGGTTTTTAAAGGTAATAATGTTTACTTTCCAATTATCTAATCAAGAATTCAGGCAACATGTTTAAGTCTTAGTTGTGATTATAGTTAAATCAGTGCAAACCATGATTATGATAAATGACGAACTAAGAACTTAAAACTATGACAAGACTAAATCATGTTACATGAATCTTGTTACTTTTCGTTTTGTCTTAATTCTGATAAATTTTGCTAGGTTTTTTATTGCTTCGCTCACTTTAATTAAAGATTAACTTTAAGTTATAGTAATAGTAATAAAGCATTAATTAAGTTTCAAATATTTTTGCATTCTAATTGATAGGATCAGAAACAAATAAAAAGTATATTAAAGTTTATATTGATTGCTTATATTTAAATAATAATTATTTTATAAGTTAAACAACATTTTATCACTAATTCTGTTACTGCTCATTTTCGCTGTGATACTTTTAATTTTAGTTGCTCTGTAGTATTTTATTATTCTGGCTGTCTTAAATCTGTTGTTTGCAATAACAATTTGTATTCCTAAATTTATCTAGAAATTTATTTGACTTATGGTATGCTAGAGTTTTTCATGGGTTTTCCTCTAGCCTTGAAGCAAATCCTTTACCATTGTACAAAAGCGCACCCATGAGCATGAAAACGATTAAATATTTAAAAATTTATAGCTGTAAATATTTGTCTATAAATATACATAGATTTGTTCTTCTGAAGTTTGCATTTTTATTTAATAATATTTTCGTTTTTTTTAATAAGTCCAAAAATCAGTGTTTTCATCTTAAAACTTGTCCAAGTTTTAAGATGACAATTTTTGATTTTTTGGAACTTATTATTAAAAAAAATTTGAAAGAGTAATGTGAGATTTATATTTAAACGAGCATTAAATTCCCGCTCGTATTTATCGATCCACTACACTACCGCCATCTACACAGTTTCAATTCTCTAGAGAGAGATAGAATATATAGGTCCAAGCGAGAGCGTCATGAATGAGTGGTAATCTGTGGATTCTACTGTACTTGGACAACCCATTATTTATGTGTTGATTGTTTAAAGTCTATTTGCTTAATTATTTTCAATATGATTTTTGTTACTCCTGGTGAACCAACTAAATTTCTTAAAATTCTCAATCAATAGCAGTGGTCTGTTGTGATTCTTTCCGTTTTGCTTATGGTTGCTATGTTTAGTATTGGTGGTGGTATCCTTGCGATTTATTCTCGCCTCGGGTGCGTTTACCATTTTTGTTCTCTTGTTACTACTGGCTATCCTGACTATACTAACTAACAATCAATAATATTGTACGAGTGTTTTTGTGAATTATATTTGTTTTATAGCATGTATTTTCGTCTTTCTTGTAATATTGTCCCTGTAATTGATCTTTATTGCGAAATAAAGTGAATTATTACTATTTATTATTGTTGGTTATATTAAAGTGAATTATTATTATTTATTACTGTTGGTGATATTTTCAGTAATGTTTAATTTTACTTGCCACAAAGATTCAGTACGGAGCTGGATTTGAACCCGATACCTTCGAATTGAAAACGCATTTTCCTGTCCCCTGTGCTACAAACCTTCTATAGCAAATCAAACTTTACCGAGGTATATTAACCGTTTGAGTGCGGAACAAATTTTGTGAGCATAACCAAAAATGCGGAGGAGCGCAGTCACTCCCTCCGCAATTTAAACATAAAACTACAGGAGCGGTATCGCGCTTCCCGCAATTTTGACATATAACCAGAGGAACGCTATTGGGTTCCTCCGCACTCAAACGGTTAACAAAACAAATCGTTGGTCACATAATTTTATATACTATATTATAGTATAAATATTGTTGACAGCGCCATCGAACGGTTTGGTTTCAGACTAATATCAAATACTGCCAATTTCAATTGTGACAAATTTTTCATTTTAAGGTCGCGGTTCAATCACGTGATGTTCGCAAAAGTGCGAAAAAAATTTGTATAGTTTCGCTGTTGGTTAAAAGAGGTCGCCCTGAGTTCAATTCAGTTTTTCATAGCGACACTTTTTTATATCAGCTTACAATTAGTCATCCTACCGCTGAAAAATTTTATTCGTTGGGGAATATATTCCGGTTTAGTCTTACGCGTTCCTATTCTCGATATTATTTGTTTTTTTTTTTTGCGAAATGTTAATATTGTTACAGTCAAGGGCGTCGTCAGCTTAACTAAATCAAACTTTTAAACACAGTAATAATTATTTATTTTAACAAAAATAATATTTAATTAAAACATAACCTGCGGGGATTTTTTGCAAAACTTTCAACCACTTTATCATTCAAATTATTTAGGTTTTTATTTATTATAGCTCTGTGTACACTCATCATGGCCAGATCATTAAGGCGATCTTCTGCCATGGTACTTCTTAGCCATGTTTTTAGTCTTCTGAGGCTGCTAAAGGATTACTCTACTGTACAGGTCGTGCATAGTAAAGCGATCAAAATTTTCAATGCTTTTTCTCTGCCACAATTGTTGCCAAAATTCGATTTCATTCTTTATGTTCGGTAAATCATAAAACTGGGCAATAGATTCACAAGTTTGTTTCAAATTTTCATTTGTCATCTTTTGCATCTGCGCCGGGTGTAACTTAGATAATGCGAATGATAGCGTGTTTTCTTCAGCAAAACGTACTTCAAGGGAGGTGATAATTGAAGACCTCTTCCAGTATTCTGAAGGGCTTTCTGCTGGATGATTACTTCTATGACGTTGTTTCCCCGTAATACGCGGCATTGATGTAATGTCATCCTCCAGTCCGACTTTCTCCGCAACAGCAGTAGCTTCCTTTATAATTTCGTCTGTCACTTTTTCTGGATTTTCACAGTGGTTTTTAATTAAAAGTAAAATCCTTTTAACGTGTTCCGAGGCTTTGACCACGTCCAAAGCTACAGATTGGTGTACGTTGACAACGGGTTCCATCAAAGCCGAGTATTTGGCTACCAACATAATCCCAAGAATGAAAGAAATTCTGGAAGTAGCCGCATGCAGTTGGAAGGCACTTTTCCGAGTTGCACTATTTCCTTCCTGAGATAATGTTTGTAAGGCTTCCAGAATTACTGGAAGATTTTCTTTAAAAACTCTGATGGTTTTGTGTTTCTCACTCCATCTTGTCTCGCAAAGTCTGGAAATATTAGGTATCAACTTCCTCCTCAAAACTGATTCCCGAAAAAAGTTTATAGTATCTTTGGTGGTTCCCATGGCATTTCTAATTTCAGGAAGTGAATTTAGATCATTGATAACTAGATTCAGTTTGTGGCACGAGCAATGAAAGTAGAGGGCTTTGGTGTACTTTTTGCGTAAGATCGCTTGTACCACTCCGTCTTTTCCTGACATCGTTGAACAACCATCAAAACCAAAACCAACGCATTTATTTATATTCAGATCTTCTTTTGTCAAAAACTCATCTATGCTACGTGCAATCGATTTCGCATCCAAATCTTTTAGCTCAATGAATCCGACAAACATTTCTTGGACTTGCTGTGTTTCTTCATCAAAATATCGCATCCCAATCGATAGTTGTTCAGTGCCAGAAATATCAGCTGTTTCGTCTGCTAGTACACTATATGCTGCTGCTTCTTTCACTTTTTTCATAATATCAGCCTTAACAACGCTTCCAGAAATACCAATAATTTCATTTTGAATATCCACTGAACGGTAGCTTGCATTCTTTTTCCCTTGCTCAATGTGTTTCTTTAAAATCAAATCTCCCGCGTCAATTCGCAGTCAACCTTCATCATAATGTTTACCTCTCAGTGTTAAGTCGTGTGACCCGCAAAACGTAATGCAGGAAATAATAGATTTTATAATTTTGCGATTTTCTTCAATAATTCCCTGGGAATATTTGTTCAGTTGCAAATCGACAGGCACACCTTCGAGAAAAGATTTAGCAGCTTTCAATGCCTCCTTATGGAAGTGGGTTTCAATGTGCTTTTTGCACTGCTCGTGAATATCTTTGAACTTACAAAAGGGCCTTATAGTAAATGATCCCAATATGCCTCTAAATGAATTTGAATTTGGTGGGAACAACGTACAATATTTACAAAATGCTCCTTTTTGGCGCCTGGAATATACCAACCATGGAGAGTATGTTTCCAACCAAGAATAATTAAATTTTCTCTATAAATGTTTTGCCTCCCGCT